GTTCTCTTCTCCAGCTGTAGTTGTTGTATTCTCTTTAAGCCAACTGCATAATTCGTCAGTTGAGACCTATTCGCCTCAAAATCCTTTTCGACCTCCGAAGCAACGGCCGACCTTTGACGTTGAAGTTCCGCTATTTGACGATCGAGGTTGGCCAGTCGTGTCTTCTTTGCTTTTATTGCATCAAGCTCTAGCTGAATAGTTTCATGAATGACCATTGCAGCCTTAAGGTCGTCCTCTACCCGGAGAGCCCTTTCAAAAGTAGTAAAGTATTGTTGGCTTCGCTTTAGGACATTGGATAAATGAATGACATTTTCAGTGCTTAGCAAGCCACCCTCGTTCAGGCACTCTACTATAGAGTCAAGGCATTTGCATTAAAGGATTCGTAAAGCTGAAAGGGATAGAAGCTCTTGCAACTTGATGAAGGCGTCAGATTTAGCCTTAGTCACAGAAAGCTCAGCTGTAGTGGCAGAGGGTCCAGCTGTCCCAAAAGTGCTCGAGAGGAGGGGTCAAGCTTGACTTCCCATGAAGGATGCACATATAAGGGTTTTAGGAAAAGGAAAATCTTAAAATAAGATAGCATAAAAGGAAGTTATGTTAGACCTACTAGGATGAGACTTTGGCCATGTCCCTTGATTCGTTGCTCAAACCCAGGGAGCTTAATGGCCGAGCCCAGTATTTAAGGCAGCCTTTTAGTTCGTGTGGCTGATGAAGGTTATCTACGTTTGATGGCTACTAAGGTGACTAGAAAATATAAATAATGCCCTTTGGCGCATAATTTTTTTTGTGAAATGAGCAGTTGGGCACCTGGCATTTAATGTTATTCTCAGTTTAGAATTCAAAGGTTGGGAATTAAGAAAGAAAATGGTAATGATTCTTACAAAGGTTGAAGTAACCTCCTGATAAGGGATGCTGAGATTCTGGTATTGGGGATAAACCGGTGTCTTCGATGTCACCTCTGGCTCGATAGGGAACGCCGCTTTATGTCTCAAACCTGCTTCGGTTACAGGAGTGTCGCCTTAGCCAGCCGCCTCGATCGTTGGTTGAGGATTAATGGTTGGCAGTTCGATTGGTCGATGATGTCTCACCAGCGGGGATCATTTGATCTCGTCCTCCTAGACAAAAGGAGATTGATTGTTAGTCAAGGAGGTCAAAATTTTATTTTGGGTAGGGCTGAGAGTTGTTCTCGGCCTAGTAATCTTCTTCTAGAATTATCATGGGTCGTCCAATCATTGCGGGTAGTCCAGTCAGGATCGACCGAATCCTATTGTAGGACGGATTGGTTTAGATAAGGATGGAGTAGTCGAGACCTAGTGCAATGAGGAGTCTTAATAGGCTAAGGATGCTGAGACTTAGGATTGGCCAAAACCTAATCAGATTAGGTTAAGAAGTTCTAATCCGAGTATGATTAGAGCCCGGCTATGAGCTACTATAAATAGAGAAGGGAGTGTACATTCAAGCCCCCTCCAATTCAACACACAAATTACCCCACACAAACCTCTCAAACACCTTGAGATTTTTATATTCTTTTTCCTCCAACATCTTCAGTTTGGATAAACAACACTGTGAAGGCAACCGGCGACATCTTCAGTTTGGATTAATAGCACTAGAGCCGTAGAATTAGCCGACCAAGGAGCACCTTCAGTTTGAATAAACAAAACAACTTCGAGACCGACTGGTTATTTATCCAAGTCTCGGTTGACAAGGATGTTCAAGTCCTTGTTGGTAGAGGTTATCTCATCAGTCTTCTTAGCAAAGTGAGGTTTACATGTTACTATATTCAGCACATTGAAAGTCGAATTTGATATTTGAACTTCGCAGAAGCCTTGTCTTCAGGCTCTAGAACCCGAAGACCGAGACGTGTTCCTTCCTCGGTCGCAGTCGCGAGATCAAGAAGTCAACAGCGCGCCCAACGCCACCTCGACATATTTTACTCCCCGGCTGAGCTCAACCGACAAGTTGGCACACCCCGCACATAATTAAAGGAAGTAGTTAGCTCATTAGTTACTCGGCCTGTGCGTCACGTAGGCTTGGTAGTTTTTAGGGTCAACAAATTCTTAACAACTTCGAGTTGTGTGATGGGTAATTGTTATCCCAAAAGATGTGTAGTGTGAATCTGAATTGAAGAGTCATTCCTATATGCATTTAATGAGGCATGTGGTGGTTAAATTTTTTGTAAGTGGTGATTGGATCTTTATGACCAATTGGTAAGGATGAAAGGCGAGTGGTGGGTCGCAATCTGAAGAGAATGATAGAATAAAGATGATGGTGATCCTATCAACTGATTGAGCAAGTATTCAGAGGAAAGCTTGTGTGAGCACAACCAGCATTTTTATTTCATACTTTATATATTTTGAAAAGATTCTGGAAAAACTACAATTGTGCTTTAGAACTATGATTTTACTTATAATCACATGTATCACATTAGTGTCACTTATAAGTGCTTCGCAGCTTATCCAGGTTTTTCTTTGCCCGGTGCGGCCCATTTCCACAACACATGGTTGTTTTGCAGAGTAACATATAACAGTTAGAGAAGAGGATCTCAAGTGGTGTAGTTGTTGTAGGAAGTACATTCGAGAGAAGAATTTGTTCCCCTTATTGTAAATTGTTTTCACAAGAAATTATATGTATATTGTATGTATGAATCATTAACTATGTATCATAAGTTATATTGCTATTGTCTTATTGTCACGTGTCGATTTTTTGGACATATCTTGGAACCGGGGCATAACAAAGATTTTTACTTTTCTCAAAATTTATATGAACTTATAATTGAAAATAAGGGGTAGTGAAAATTTAGAATTCTCTAATATTCTCACAATCTTCGGAATATAACTTCAATACTTTATTCTTTTCCATAACGAGGTATTTATAAGAATACAACGAAGCAATAATAGGAAATAAATAAATTAAAATTTTTGTCCTCAAGACTAGGAAACCTAGACCAAATCATATCAGGTAATACTAAGTAGACTAAATTTGCAAACAAAATGATGTGTCATCAATAAGAAATAAATACATTTATTAACACTTAAGTAATAATTCAATCATCAACTTTAATGTCATTTAATTTACAAAATTTAGTATACGCATTTAGTCTCTGTAACATCATCCATATCAATCCCTAATTAAGTCTAATCTCTAAAATACTTCATATTTTTCCGACACTTATCCTAAAAAATAATTTATAGGTACGTTTGTGGCTCAAGCAACTTATCTAAAGGTTGAATTTTCTATTTTAATCAGTTATACGTACCCACGAGGGAATTATCCCTGAACAAATCATAATCTTAAATCGCAACCCCTCGGTCCGTCGTCCTCTATCACCTGGGTCAAATATAACGGCTTCGGTTGATTTATTTATGATATTACAGTCAAAGTTGGAAAAATCATCGCGCGAAAATTCCACTGCAGTTGACGTCCGTGGATCAAACATTGATAAATTTTAATTCGTACCTATGAATATGATATATACAAATCTGATATATGTAATTTGTAATGACATATGAGTAGGCTAAGGTGGTCTCAAACAAGAAATCATGGAAAATGGTGGCAGAATATATTATGTTCAAGACCCCACAAAAAAATTATTTCTGCCTCTAAACGTAATAAATTTGAAATAATTAGATACTTTTAATCAGGGTTACATTTTTACTCACCAGTTAATTTTCATATTAAATGTTAATTTTTCAATTCTGAAAAGAATTAACCAAGATCAAATGAAACGACATATGTTAAATAATTAGGTGTGTACTTATTATACCCCAAAAGTTTAAGGTGTGAGCAAAAATCCCCTTTAATCATTTAAATTTTGCTTCTCTAGTTAAATCATTTGACTTTTAATCCAACTAATACCTCTTTTATTTTGTATTGATGAGTCATCGTACTTTTAAGGATCCCAATATCTTTGAGTAGTATTAGACCCACTCTAGTGTCTCTTTTTTGGGTAAATTACATAAAACTACCTCAACTAGGGGTCGAACGACACTTTCATACCTCATCTTTTAAAAATGACAATATCATACCTCAACTTACGAATTTGTTCCAATGTCAGATCTCCGTTAAAATGTTATTTTTCTACCCACTATTATTTCTAAAATAACCTTTAATTACTGCTATAATATATCCCTTCCTCCTCTGCTTGCACTTGCAAAAAACTGAAATTAAATGATTAAAAAACTTCGAAAACGAGTGTGAAATTTGAGAGAGAGAGGACATGAACAGAAGTGAAATGGTGGTGTTATAGATGGAGGAAGAAAGAAGTGACAAAGAGGTAGAGAGAAGTCGAGGGAGAGAAAATAAACTAGAGGGAAGAAAAGGACCACTAGCGTGATTAGAGACGAGTCAAAGCGGATTTTCTCACTCCTCTTGTCTTTTTGGTTTCAATTTTTTTTCCAAGTTTGAAAATGGAGCATGAGAACGAAATTATGAGAATAATCAAAGTTGTTTAATTATCAAATTCACATTCTCCACAATTGAGAGCGCATTTTTCAAGATAATCCAACCTGACATCTCTCAATTCAACTGAAGGGATGAAGAGGAGAGAGCTTTTTTTTTTTTCTTTTCATTATCATTTTATAAAAGGGTAAAATTGATACTAAATTTTTTATTAAAAAATAGGGTGAATTAATGAGACAGTGATGTAGGTTTATCATCACTCATATCTTTTAGTACCAGTTATACGAATGAGGATCTTCTCCGGATTCTCTTTGTGAGGATCCCGGGAATCCTCCAATCATGTTCGTTCATCGTACATCGTGCGGTCAATTTCGTTAGGTACTGTTTATAATCAATTTTAAATAAAAAAATTTACAATAATTAATGACCACACGATGTACGATGAACGAACATGATTGAAGGATCTCCGAGATCCTGACAAAGAGGATCCGGAAAGGATCCCCATTACATTTTTCTTTTTTTGAAAATATACCATAACATTGTATAGGCGTCGGCACCATAGTAAAAATGGTCAAACCGCAAACCCCATTACTAGTATATATATGGCTCCGATGCTGGTAATATATAAGAGAGCTATAGGAAAGTAATAAACTAAGCATATATGGGTAAGGCACAAAGCTCCTACGCTGTTATCCTGGCATTTTCTTTACTTGTTAATCTATTGGTATATACGGATGGAGAGCGGGAACTGAGTTGGAGCAAAAGAGCAGCACAAGAAGCTGAGCAGGTGGCCGCCATCTCTTGCTCAGGCCATGGAAGAGCCTACTTGGACGGGTTGGTTCTTTATGGAATCAAACCTGTTTGTGAGTGCAATCCTTGCTATGGAGGCCCCGACTGCTCTATGTTTTTAACTGATTGTGCAGCAAATGCTGGAAGGTCACCCCCCCCCCCTCTCTCTCTCTCTCTCTCTCTCTCTCTCTCTCTCTCTCTCTCTCTATGGAGCATGAAATTGAGCTCTTGAAGTGTTTTTGTATAGAACATATAATCTTAGGTGTGCTTTTTCTAATTTACTATCTTATGTATATATATGACACATAATGTTGTTCTGCAGTGGGGATCCATATTTCTTGGAGCCATTTTGGATGCAACGTGCAGCTAAAAGTGCAATTCTAGTAGCGGGGTGGCATAGAATGGGGTATACCTTTCCTGATGGTTCTTACATATCAACGCAGCTCGAGGCGAGCATCCATAAAGTACATGCCATAGTTGGAAACGCGGTCACTAAAGGAAAATATATTATTTTTGGTGCTGGCTCAACCCAACTTCTCAACGCTGCAGTTCACGCACTCGCTCTTGAGAATAATTCCTCCTCACCTGCAACTGTTGTTGCTTCAATTCCTTACTACAGGGTTCGATCTTCTGAATTTTAATCAAGTGTTTTTAATTTTCATTTCTATGTTACAGATAGAGGAGAAATATATGAGAGGAATGAGGAAAATAGAAGAGGAGGGAGGATAGATGATGAGAGAGATGTAGAAAAAATATACAAAGAAGAGGAGTTAATTACACTAACACCCCCTAAGGTTTATCGTGTTTTCACAAAATCCTCTCACGTTTGAAACATAACACTAACACCCCTTGTAATCAAGATCAAACTACGAGTCCAAAAGTTGTCGTTAATATAATTAAGGATATATTTGATGACCATTTAGTTTTCTCTTTATTTGTTTCAGATAGGGGAAAAGTATACGCGAGGAATTAGGGAGAAGAGTGTTGAGAACAAGGAGAAATAAAGAAAAAAAATAAAAACGATATCTTAAAAGTGAAAAAAACGGAAACTTCAAATGGTTTACTGTTTTTGGTTTTAGTGTTATTAGGTGCGCTCTTCTTTGGGGTTAATTACACTAACACACTCTGAAGTTTATCGTGTTTTCACAAAACCCCCTCACGTTTGAAACATAACACTAACACCCCTTGAAGTTCTAATTCACTTTCACATAACCACTTTAGGGCTAACATCACCTTAAAATAATTTCTTAAAGACAATTTTGCCCTAATTATTAATTACTTTATGAAAAATCCTTTATAAATAAATAGAATAAAAATTCAAATTAAAATCTTACATTAAACAATAAAAGAAAATTGAAGAAATCTTGTTACCTTCTTCCTTTACGCTGTTAATTCATATCCCAATCCTCTTTTCTTAATTAGAAAAACCCTAGCAGAACAAATCTTTCTCCTGTTAAATCCTTTGGGAGTTTCAGAGTATGAATGTGGTCGAGTAATTTCTTCTAAGTAGCCAAATCAGGTACTCTTCCCCATGTTTGAAAACAAGGCTTTCTTCCATATCGTTTTCTCGTCGAAATTGGTTTTAGTTTGGGTGAACAAGGAGTGAAGGAGGTTGACGAAGAGTTGGAGGTGGCGATTTGAGGACAAGAATAGAAAGAAAAAAAAATTGAGAGAAAGATCAGAAGATGCATTGGCTTTCTATCAGTTTTTTTTTTAATTTTTTATTTTTTTATGGTTAATGTATGTTTTTGAAGTCCAACAAAAAAAAAACTATTTTCTTTATATTGGTTATTATTATATGTATTTTTAACGAGCCTTTTTTATTTTTTAAAGTAATTAATAATGGGACAAATTTGTCTTTAAGAAATTATTTTAAGGTGATGTCAGCCCCGAAGGGGTTTTGTGAAAGTGAATTAGAACCTCAAGGGATGTTAGTGTTATGTTTCAAACGTGAGGGGGTTTTGTGAAAACATGATAAACCTCAGAGTGTGTTAGTGTAATTAACCCCAAAGACGAGCGCACCTAATAACACTAAAACCAAGAACAGTAAACCATTTGAAGTTTCCATTTTTTTCACTTTTAAGATATCGTTTTTATTTTTTTTCTTTATTTCTCCTTGTTCTCAACACTCTTCTCCCCTAATTCCTAGCGTATACTTTTCCCCTATCTGAAACAAATAAAGAGAAAACTAAATGGTCATCAAATATATCCTTAATTATATTAACGACAACTTTTGGACTCGTAGTTTGATCTTGATTACAATCTGGTCCCTATAGTTTTAGTTTCAGTCAAACTCTCCTAGATTAATGTTGGTTAAAAGTTAAATTTTGGTTTATGTTTAGAAACGGTCTAGTCATCTGAAAATCATATGTACAGTTTTATACTGTAAAAATTTGAACGAACGGGTTGTAATTCTGAACTGAATTGAAGCTAATAGTAAATTACAAGACCTAACTGAGTCGAGGTCAAAGTACAAGAGGATGAAGTTTGGTAATTTACTTCTATTGTAACAAGTTTGAATTTGATGCATACAGCTTTACAAGACACAAACGGAATTTTTCAGATCAGTGGACTATCAGTTTGAAGGAGATGCAACATCATTGCAGAACATTTCAGATGCAGGCAACGTTATTGAGTTTGTAACCTCACCAAACAATCCAGATGGGAAGCTGAATAAGGCAGTTCTTCAGGGCCCCAATTCCTCTGCGATCTATGATCGTGTCTATTATTGGCCACATTTTACAGCGATTCCAACTGCAGCAAATGATGATCTAATGATATTTACACTTTCCAAGCTCACTGGCCATGCTGGCACAAGATTTGGGTACTATCTAAATTCATATATCATAAAATTAGGATGGTCCTATCCATGCATCCCTGTCAATTTAAAATAGTTTAGCGGAAGCAAAAACATAGAATATTAAGACATGCAGATACAACTAGGTAAACAAAAGCCCTAGTCAAAGTTTGGGGACAAAGTTAGTCATTTTAAAATTAAAGGGCAGAGTTGTTAATGATGATTATTTTATATCTTTAACAAATCAAATTCTAATAGTATAACTCAATAATTTATAATGATGATTATTTTATGTCTTTAACAAATCAAATTCTAATAGTATACTCAATAATTTATCATTTCTGTTTTTCTAGTAACATTATTTACTTAAGGTATTTACTGTTTTTCGTTGATGAACCAAATTAAGGAAGCTTACTTCAGTTAACTACATTTTGCTTGGAATGTTTGCACTTGGCAGATGGGCAGTGGTAAAGAATAAGTCTGTGTATCAAACAATGACGGAGTATATTAGTGAAAGCAGCAATGGCATTTCTCGGGATGCTCAGCTAAGGGCTTTGAAACTTCTGAATGTAGTTCTCGAAACTGGAGGCAGGGAAATCTTTGAATTCGGATACGACACTATGAAGAACCGCTGGGAAAAATTGACCAACACCCTGTCTGTTTCCAATCGCTTTTCTCTACAGAAAATTGAACCCCAATATTGCACTTATTTTCAGAAAATTAGAGAACCCTCACCAGGTAACATCTTCACTATTTATACAGTTATATACCATGATTTAATAACAGAGAGTAGAAACTGTGAACTCCACCCCTTTTAATTAAGTATAATGACAGATTTCCAAACAAGTTTGGTAATTACTCTTTTCAAATTGCAAAAGTACTTCCAGAACTTTTACCATTTTCTTATTATATTGGCAGCTTATGCGTGGGTGAAGTGCGAGAGGGAAGAAGATAAAGATTGCTACAAAATACTGGAAGAAGCAAAAGTTGATGGGCGTAGAGGTAGCGTGTATGCAGCTGAAGAGCGCTATGTCCGTCTCAGCCTCATAAGGAGCCAAGATGACTTTGACATACTAATTCAGCGACTAAGCCAGTTGGTCAAGGAATAAATGTTGGAACTTCAAAGCAAAATAAATGTCAATAGTTACATATTGGTGAAATAGTTGTATGCCCAACTATTTCTTTTTCAACTAGCATGTTTCTTATCTTCCGAATGTGGAGCTGCTTTGTTTGATTTTCAATAGCAGCTAGATTTTATTTTTTTACATTCATAGCATTTAATGCTATATATGCTGTAGTATGTCTTGCAAATTCTCTATAAAAGGTATACGTGTGTATACGTTTGAGATGGTTCAGTAATAAGAGTTCTAACTCTCCAATATATCAAAGTGTTTGTTTCATAAAATACTTGCTGCTTCTTTTATTTATTTGGTCCATTTGCTTTGGGAGTTCTAGTGAAAGGTGTGATATAGTGTGATATAGTGTGATATAGTTTGTAAACTTATGACCCACATTTATTTGGTATTAGTTCGTACACTGAATTCCAGTGTTCCAAAAATCGGCCTGGCAGTGGTTTGCTGCCGCGATTAAACCAAAATCGTTGAAGAAATCGGCAAGGGTATTAGGCGGCGCCTAGACAAGTGCTGGGCAGGTTAGGCGGCCTTGGCGACCGCCTAGGTGGTCATGCTTTGATAAGAAGTCAATCGCAGCATCTTTCTTCCGCTGCAGTTTGGACGGCTCCGCGACGGTCTCGACAATTTCGATCTGCAATTGCAGGGTAAAAAAAATGGGGCGATTTGCTGGGATGAGAGAGACAACCTCGATCTGCAATTGTAGAGTAAAAGAAGTGTGAATGAGGAGTGGATCTGCAATTGCAAAGTTGAAGAAGAAGGACGGCTTGGCTATGGGGAGAGAGAAAGAGAGAGAGGGAGGGTAACTATGATTGCAAAGAACAAATGGGTCGACGGTAGGGTAACTAATGAGTTAGTGTTTTTTTTAGTTAGGAACTTAGGTGGCAATTGTTTAAAATTTAGGGACTATTTTTTCTTTAATAAGAAAACAAGCCCAATTCTTCTTTTAGTGAAAAACAAGGCCCAATAATGATTAAAACAAATGGATAGACTAAATATTACAAAATCAACATAAACCATCCTAAAATTTTACACATATACTTAAATCTGTCTAGTTTTCTAAGTGCTAGGCCCCTGCCGACCGTCCGACTAGCGCCTAGCGTCTTTTAGAACCTTGTTGAATTCTAACAACCAAGTTATGCAAACAATGTGTTAGACCTCAATGAGCCATTGGTTACACCTTAAGGAAAAGTCTTCTCTATTGATCACCTTTACGTTCTTTCACATTCATTAGAAAATGATACTATGTATTAAACTAAAGATTAAAATGAAAAAAAAAAAAAATTATGTAGTATGTACTCAATTATATCGAGTTGGCACTAATAACATGTGTATGATGAACGTTCTTTAATCACAATTAAAGTAGACAAGAAAGTGCGCTCTATGATATATGGTAGGAGACATTTTGTGGAAGGTCTTTGTGGTGTAGAAATATGACTCCTAATATGTGTAAAATTGACAAAATGGGAAGTAGTCTAACTTTACACATAAGCTCATGTAAGGTCCATTTTCCATCAATGTGAGACTTATTCTCAACATGCCCCTACCATGAGTGGCAAATTTTTTAGTCAGCACATGCACAACAAAAATGAGGTGACATGGCTAGTGCGTGCACCATTTGGCTTCACATGTGGGATGATGTGTGTACGGCTTCTAATAGATTGATGCCATGTAGAAATATGACTTCTTATATTCATGTGTATAAGATATTATAGTGCATATAGGGTCACATGGATTCCTATTTAAAAAAATTACATTTCTATAAAGTGAGTACTACATAGATGATTCCGAATTAATTTCATTTAAACTACTAATAGGCTTATATGTGATTGGTCTAGAGCCAAAAAATAATACCAAAAATCCAGAAGGCGACACGTGGACTTTTTCTCAAGAAAGACAAGATTACCCTCACTAAATGGGCAGGATTCTCAAATACTCCCACACGCAACTCAACATCCTTGAAAGTCCAAGCAGCTAACTACGATTGCTCAAAGCTCCCCTTCTCGTGGCATAGAAAATTCAAAGGTACTAAAGCTAGGGTTAATTACTAAATCCTATCTTTAATACATTCCTAATTGAAGACCAACTCAATCAAGTAAGAAATCCCTATCACAATCAATTAGGGATACTTCCACCGTTATCCCAAGACATTTTCTCGTAATTGATATCTTGGGAATATTCTTTCCTCATTCATTAACAAATGACACACCTTGACTAATAGAATGTCGGCACGAGTAGGACATAACTCTAACCCCATGGCCGGCCACTTATTCCTTTAAATACCTCAATCTTCATCAAATTTTGGTAAGCTTTTTACCAGGCATACATGCCATAAAGACTTAAGAGATACTGACTTAGGCATCGAAGACCTATTGGCCAAACCTCCTTCGTCACCTCTTGGGCATGTGAGGCTGATCTTTGATCAAAGATGTTGATTGTTTTATATGTACAAATTTATCAAGACTGAAGTCAGCAAATTTTTACTAGCACAATTAGCTTTTCTCTTCCAGTATGTTTCCAACGCCAACCAATAGGGTTGGTTTTTGCCAATATAGGACCAACTACCAGCCAATGAGGTCGGTTTGCATAGGCATGTATTATGATAACAGCCTTCCAAACAATTGAATGCGTCTTAGACGTCACAAGTATTCATGCCTACATGAATTTGTCATCTAAGTAAAGAAAAAATCTTGTTTATTCTCTGATCAAAATGAAATTAAAGCAATACTAAAAAATAAATACCTTTGTTTTCAACAACAATACAAAACCTTTGTTTTAAAAAACAATACAACTTAGTGTCCTTACCTATTATGACATTCAACCCACTATCTATAATGAAATTGTCAATCCTAAATAAAAACCAAATATGTCATGTCCAAGCCAGTAGTTGGTGAAAAAATTAACTCCAAGTCCGATGCGTGAATATAAATAAAAAGCAAAACGAAAAACAAACTTCTCTTAGACAAATAAGTCAAAAAATCTTACACTATGTACAAAAATAAATTAAAAGCCCCATTTTCTCGTCTAGCACAAACTCAGCTTAGCACCTGTCTTGCTAAAACTTATCTGTAAAATATAAGGGGAGGGGTGCGCAACAAAGACCTAGTATTCATGTCGTGTGTTTCGGTGTTGTGGATGCAAATTTCTTCGTCCTTTTTCTTGGACAAAATTGCACCTACAAAACAAATAATACCTTATGTCAAGGCCAAGAGCCTCACACGCCCATGATGAATTTTGGGGGGGGTGGGGGGGGCGCTTTGGCCGAAGAACCTCCAATGCCAAAGTTAAAATTTTGAGAGAATAGTGTTTGGAGAATTTTGAGAATTTAGCAAGAGAATTGGAATTGAGTTTTGGAGAGAATCAGGGTGTTTATATAGGGGTGTGGCCGACCACCTTGGGAGGAGATGGACCGGCCACTTGGATGGATTTGTGGGTCAAGTTCATGATTTGTGTTTAATTAGCAAATTAATTGAATAATTAATCAATTAATTAGCTAATTAATATAATAATAAAAAAGGAATGATTTAGGGGTTACCTTTTGGAGAAGATATGATGAGAGATGGATGAAATAGGTTATAAATAAATACCTATTTGGGCACTTTTGACTTGATTGAGGGATGATTGTCCACTGCTCGCGCATAGGAATTCTAGTGTGCCTCGAGGGTAATTTTGTCTTTTCACCCAAAAAGCCACGTGTCACGTCTTGATTATTTTTGGCTCCACAAATGCCCACACACCTGTGGGGCTTCTCACAGAAAAGGCCAGCAGGTGTAGAGATCTTCTTGGTTTGGGAAACTTAGGATTGTTTCCTGTTTTGACGTAGATTCCCTCTTTAATTTGAAATTAGATCCTTCTAGGAAAAGGAAATAAATTTCTCTCAAAACCTATTTAAGTCCACCTTAAGTGGATTATTAAATCAACTTTAGAAAGCGATGTATTCTACCCTACAAGAGAGAGAGAGAAAGCTTAAAGGATATTTGTTCCCCCTCCTCTAGCAATTTTCTACATCTTGCCCATGCAAAAGATCGTCTTTCATTGCTTGCTTCATCTTTTCCGCACTGCACCGAGGTAAGAAAAAATTAATTTTCGTTGTCTTCTTCTTGGATAGTTCTGTCACAGGGCAGCCATCGGGGTGGTGCGGCACGTCGACTGGCAAGGGCCAGGAGTCGGCTCGACATAGGCCGATGAGCTGTTATGGCAGGGACCACTGCTTGGGCTGCTTGGCTTAGCTAGAGCCAAGGGCAGCTTGTGAAACTGGGGCCGCGGATTGTGGTGCTAGGGCACAATGCTAAGCGAGCTGCATCGCTCATGTCCTTTGGGCTATTGGACCTAACGCGGGCCAAGCAGGCGATTGAGAGAAATGAGAATGTTGGGGGCCTCATGGGCAACTAGAATGCTAGGCATGCAGGCCTCATGCTTGCTAATTCGAGAGAAAAAAAAAATGAGAGAAAAGCCAGTACGGGTTGAGCTCCCCTGCTGATACCATGAATGGTGTTGGCTACTTAGTTTTCTTCGCCGGGAGAAATGTGGGTTGCTCCTGAGAAAGAAGGTAAAGAAGATCAAGGCGGATGCCTTGGCTCGTCTAATCGTTGTCATGGAGCCTACTATGAATGAAAGTGGAAAGAAGAGATTTTCCCCGCCCACTCAAGAGATGTCGGTTGAGAAAAAACTAAAAACTTCTTCTGCTGCTCGTGAGGGTCTATCTGCCGCCGAGAGGCATGTGATTGACATGACTTCTTCTAATGGGAAGCAAATTGAGGCTGTTAGATCTGAGCATGTGGCGCTTGCCAGATTGATAATGGTTAGTACGATTTACTGATAGGATTGCTCAGCGTAGAGGTCCTATTATACCCCCAATGCCGAAGTATATACCAAAACGTCCGTTGGAAGCTAAGTCCAGTTCATCTTTGGAGAGGCTTGCTATTATGAAGAGCGATCAGGTGGACTCTGCTGCTAAAGTGGCGCCAAGGCCCATTCCCTTTGCTACTGAAATTGATTCGCCTACAAGGAAAGAAAAGACTGCTCGCGTAGGCAACTGTGAGAAATCCACTAAGCCTACTTTTGGAGAGGCTGCTGAGATCTGTGCACTTTTGAAACCAAATCTTCTTGAAGACATGGATGCTTATGCCAAGTTTATCGATGGCATTAAAAGGATTGTGTCACATCTTATTCTCGACTCTGTCGTAGCACGATATTGTCCGCTTTGGGCCCCGACCACGCCTTCACGATTTTGTTTTCGGGAACTCACGCG